TAGCAAATATTATAAATATTTCAAGGATGATTAATCTTTTAAAACATTGAAGTTAGGCAGAAGCCTGGATGTCAACTTGGCTATTTCACAACTAATAAAACATGTCTCTTGTATTTCACTGTGACTATATAAAGAGTAGCATACAAAAGGCAATTACCCTCTATTCACAAGCTAACATAACACTTGTACAAGTATAAAAGAAACAGAGCATGTATTTTAAAAGGTGGCAGTGCTTCCACAGTTTTCCAAAAGTAAGAAAGCAAACATTCAGCTCACATTAAGCAGCTCTCTATCACCAAGGACCAGCTTGCTAGCATCATATACTTCCCAAAGAAAGATAATGCTGATTGCTTTAACAGAACCATTGTCACCAGACAACTTCCAGTGCTGTTGAGGAATAAATATTTCCAAGGCTCCCACCAAAAACAACACAGAACCTGGCCCTGAACCCTGACCTGCTAATGCAGTGAGATATCAGCTTGTCCTGTGAACGCCACCTCCTTATAAAGAAGAGACCTCCACCACCACAGCTGCCCACCAAAAATGGCAGTAAATGGTACAAAGGCCTTAGGAAGGCTGGGAACAGAATAGCAGGTGGGACCCTCTCCTCCCAGCTGCTGCAATGCATGACTGGACAGGACTGCAAATTGCTTTTCTGCTGGGCAAACAACATTTACAGTACTTCAGCCCCAGCTTAGACTAGTTCTCTGAAACAGAAAGCCAAGATAGCCCATGTCCTAAATATACAGAGGTCAGTTGAAAATGATTTTGCTAGATCTGGCTGGAGTACAAATCCTCTTGGGCATCCTGGTTTCTGGAAATCCAAGATGAGACCAAAAATAATCATGTGACAAGACATTCAGGGTATAGATCTCTCGGGGCTGCAGAGGTTTGCATCATTTTTTCAGAGCTATTAAGAGGTTCAAAGTAAGAGATCATTATCTGGTTAGAGATCAGTGTAATTTCAGACCACACACACCTGTGTTGCATCTCTCTCGGCCTGCTGGTTAGTGATGTAGAAGTCTGAATTTTGTTTTTATACAATGCACTGAGAAGCTTTACATCTAAACTCACCTTTAGCAATACATTTGTGTTTAAATAAGATGCCAGGGCAGCCTAGGGGTTTGCTGCCCATTATCAGCGTCTGAGTGTTTTCCACATTAGACTGGCATTAGAGCAAATGGAATTCATGGAGCTCTGTCTGTTCACCCCTTTTAAGACGGAAAGAAATCCACCTCGTTGGGGGGAGGGCAGGTTACTTGGTGGGGTTGGGGAGGAGGGGCTGTAACATCTGAGAAGGTCATTATCCGTCTACAATAAACATGCTTGTTCCAGAACAGGCTAAGGGACAGCTTGCAGGTGGCTTGCTCAGGTGCACATTGGGGCAAGTGAGCAAAGACAATGCTCCCTGAAAGTCCTGTTCAAAGGCCAGACACAAGTCTGGACCTTGTAGCCCCTGGACAATGAAGGGATTCTCTGCAAAGGGGGCCAGCAGCGGTGGGTGTAGGGCCATGGTCTTACACTCCCTTCTCCACTCGCCACCTTTCAAAGAGTGGCAGATCCAGCTGTGTGCCATGTGTTGCAGAGCCCCCAAGAGGAATTGCAGCAGACCCCTGGTCATCCCCTCCCCAAATGCAGTGCAGAGCCAATGGCTTTGGGCTGCAGTCTGGCCCGAAATGTGCATCTCCCCCAGATACTGCATGACTCCTATGAATCCCAGCGAGCTCAGCGGCAAATTCCCGTCATTCCAGAGCCCTCCGATGTTATTTTTGCTTTTAACGTTGCTGTTTTCCACTTCAGCTAACTCTAGAACTTTGTGTACTGGGAGCAGCTAACAGAGCAAAGGGTCAATTCTTGGGTTGACTGGCTTCATTAGGGCAGCAGCAGCACCTTTCAAACGGGTCTGCAGTGAAGGAGTTTCCTACTGAATAAATTAGCAGGTTATGGTCTTGCGTAGAGGTACAGAGGGCCAGCACAAGTCCTGTGCATCACTTCAGTCCCACTACAGCCCAAACACAGGCCTAAGGGCAGGGAGAATTTCACTGGTATGTGAGGCATGAAGCAGCACTGGACAAAACTGGAGGTCTGTGTCTGGGTGGTGTTTATGGTGCAGCAACCATGACAATATCACCAAGGAAATGCAGCAATTGAAGTTTTTTCCCTGTATCATTTCTGCTGAACAGCAAGATGAAAGCATCCCACTCAGGAAGTGTCTCTAGGGGGTTGTTTCGTCTCACCCAGCAGTGCAGTCAAGCGTCGTCTGACCCCACACCTGAGATCACAACCTGAGGCACAGAATATGCGCCCAGAAATGGTATGCCTGGCATGTCTTCTTACACAACTGTGTGACTTTGAACCTTACACATTTATCTGAGGTTGGAAAATGTAGCCAAAAAAAACAAATGTATGGCAGCACTGGCCATGCCTAGATATATATCTATATATGCAGCAATCCTTCCATTGTCCCAACGTACAAGAACAAAGTGTAATGTACAAGCTGCAGATGGAAGAAGGGGCAATCAGATTACCAGAAAAATAAGACTCAAAAAATACCCCAATACAAATAAAACCCCACCAATTAATACACATCCCTGGAATTATCCTGATCACCAGATACTTTCACAGTTTGTAACAACAGAATCCAAAACATTAAATCTTGATACGGTCTTAGAAAACAGCTTCCCAGGCAAACCTTCTGTCTACATTAAAGAGATCTCTTTGGAGACAAGAATGAGAAGGTCTTAACCAGATTAATTTCATATTTAGCACACGGCTGAATTCTGGCTGCTGTGTGTACTTACACAAACTCTCCAGAATGATCCTCAAGCTGGAGAGCAGAAAATTCCACACTTAATCTGCTTCCCCACCCCACTCATGGAGACACTGCTGTGCAAATGGTGTGGGATAGGGCCAGAAAGAGCAGCAGGTAATGAGCTTTGCAGATTTTGATACCCAAAGGGACCATTAGATCATCTACTCTGACCTTCTGTGTAACTCATATTTTAGTGGGTGCACCCTTCCCCCTACATTAGGCTAAATGCATGCTCACGAATTACTCCTATTACCCTCCTCCTAGCAAAAACACCATGAACTGCAGTGGGGCCAGGCTCTGGTGGGATGGCTGCGAGCTTGGCCACCAGCAGGGGTTGAACCAGAGCTCTCCAGAGCTCATACCACTTGAACCAAAAAGCCAGGTGCTGTAGCTGTAACAGACTCATAACCTCTGTGGATCAGCCACACTGGAGGACATGTAACACACACTGATCAGTGGGTTACAAAGGGTCATCGCTAACACCGAGGGGCCTGATTTCCCACTGTGGTGCCCCTTGTTGAGTCACTGACACCAGCCATGCTTTCCACTCAGTTTGCATAGGAGTAAATGACTCTCCAAAGAGCAGATCTGTGGGAAAAATCAGGGCCCCCCGGTTTTTGCATCTTCAGTGTCTGCTCATTTGTGGGGCAACGGGGGAAGGGATAGCTCAGTGGTTTGAGCATTGCCCTACTAAACCCAGGGTTATGAGTTCAATCCTTGAGGGGGCCATTTGGGGATTTAGTTGGGGATTGGTCATGCTTTGAGCAGGGGGTTGGACTAGATGACCTCCAGAGGTCCCTTCTAACCCTGATATTCTATGATTCTCCTAGTATTCTGGCATTTTCATTCAGCAAAACTAGCAAGCGAGCTCTCAGACTACACTGGCACTCTGACTAAAACCAAAACTGCCAGAGGGGCATTTCAATTGTTAATTGCTTTAACTATTAATATTGTTTAATTATAAAGATTTGCAAAACAACATTTACCATTTAACTTCCTGAGTAGAACCAACAGCTCCTTCCATAATAGCTTGGGTTTTTTTCCAGCCACCATTTTTTGACACCATTTAATTATAAATTAAAATTTTGAAATCAGTGGGAAAGTTTGCTTAAACACCGTGAGAGAGAGAGCGCGCGCTCTAGGGCATAAAGGTGGCAAAAGCGATGCCAGTAGACTCGATGCACTCTGTATTTTTGTTGTTGATTTTCCTTCCCCATTAACGCTAAAGCCTTAGCTTTGGGAAACTACCACATGCCAAGAGTGGATGTGGAATTCTCTCCAAGATATTCAAAACTAGGAGCCTAAAGCCTACACCTAAATCAATGACTTGGATTGTCCAGCGTGCTCCCAATGACCTGACATTAAGGCCAGAATTTCAACAGAGCTCAGCTCCCCTTAAGGCCCCCAAATGGAGTTGCCAGATTTTCAAAAATGCTGATCCCCTCCCCCACCAGCAGGTTCTTCTCGGCACTCAGCAATTTAGAAATCAGGCCAATTATTTTAGGAGCTTAACTTTGGGTTCCTATTGTTAAAAACATTGCCCTATAAGCCCTGTCCACATAGTGAGATGGATCCGTTTTCACTTTTCCTTAATCGGTGATGCAGAATAGATTATAATTACTTGCTTAAGATAATACAAAATATGATGGCCACCGTGGCACGTTAATATGTGTGCTAACAGCATCAGTGATGATAATTTAGTGAGATCCCATCCTCTCTGTAGCTGTGGTTAATGTAGGTTACGCTGTACAATGCATCTCAGAGATCTCTAGTCACACAGGGTGGAATTCAATCCCCATGCTCAGGGCCAGGACAAGGTGTGACTTAAGTGGTGCCTACCCTGTGTGCCGGTCCTGAGAACAGGGCAGAAACTCAGCTATCACGGACTGGACAGACTGTCTAATGTAAATCTCCAACGTGACCTCACACGCATCAAGCAGTTTGGTTCATAAACAGCTTTTTTACCTAAGGCCAAATAATGATTCTTTATTGCAGGCCTACTTTGCAATAATGGAGGCTGGGCTTTTCAAAGAGATGTAAAGGAGTTTGGTGCCAAACTCTACTGAGTTTCAATGGGATTTGGCCTCCTCACTGCCTTAGGTCCCTTTGGCCCTAGAAAAAACAATTTCACACAGATTATATAGGCAAAAAACCTAAGCACCCCACCAACTCCCCCCACCTCTCTTACCATGCACTGCTGGTGCTAAGAGCATTGTGAAGAACAGCAGCTGTGATGACCACATGACTGTGGAATATAACTTGAAGGTACCGCGGCAACGAGCGTTTCCAAATAAAATGAAGTAAGCGTCCTCTTGTTCCTTCGTCCAGAGCTCCTTCGTAGGTCCTCAATTCACATCCACAGGGGAAGGGGAAAAAGCCAACCAAAAATTATAATCATAAAAATTAAAAAAAAACAAAACACAACCAATATCCAGAATCGAGACCTACAAACAAAAGAGAAAGAACGAGGTCAGTAACAAAAACAGGTGATTAGTGCATGGCAATCAAGACAGCAGGTTTAAGTACAAACAGGGGCTCCCTTAACACAGTGGTTCTCAATCTGTGATCCGCAGACTATGTCTAAAGGGTCTGCAAAGACAGACTGAAAACTGACTGAACAGAATTCAACTATATACACAGACAATAGATTTCCAAAGGAGTCCGCACCTCTGTTCGAGCTATTTTAGGGGTCCGCAAATGAAAAAGGTTGAGAACCACTCCCCTCACAGGCCTTTATTAGCTGTTTGGTAGGAACACACAATGTACCTCTGTGCAGAGGGCCAGCACTTCAGCCTGTGCATCACTTACGTCCCACTTACTCTTTCAAAGAAGGGCTTCAATGGCTTTATGTGGTGGCCAGACCTCATGGAAGCCTTCTGCTCAGGGGTGAATTTTAACCCCAATAACCCACTTTCCCGCTCCAATGCCTGACATACAGAGCCAAAGCACAGGCACCAATACGTTCAGGAGAGCGTGCACTTGTAGTTGTATGTGCACATCAAGTGACTGCACATGCGAGAGTCCAGTCAGGCACTTGGGCTCGACCGTGCCTTTAAGCACAGCACTGAGCAAGGGGCGGAGCATAAACTGCCCTGTTCCAAGAGTAGTCTCAGAAGGCGCTGTGACTCAGACGCTTCACTGAGGCACCAGCCCCCTCTGCTTCCCCCTTTACTCTAGGTGGGTAGGAACTTCCTGCTATCCCACAGCAGCAGCAAATCACAACACACCCAATGCTAGCTCAGCTTTGGAAGACAGGGAATAGGGAGTATGGAGCCCTCAGCGAGGAATAAGGGGAGTTCTTCCTTCCCCTTACTCTCCTGTGCTGACACACAGTCCCAGCCATAGGCCAGCGGGTACATCAGCCATGTGTGGGTACGTCAGCCGGAGCAGCGCCATGCATGGTCACAGATGTACCCTGGCACATGCACCACAGGCCTCCTGTTTGAGATGTTTGGCTTGCAAAGGCTTTTTTGTGGGGGATGGATGGGTTCTTCTATTTCTCCTTGTGTCCTCACCAAAGGGACAGCCCTGGTCACTGGCATTCTCCATACAGCCATGCCCAATACAGGGGGAAGCAGCGCAAGCTTCTGCAGGCAGCCCCACACAGAGCCACAATCATTACCTTCAGGAACCTTTTAATTTGTCCCGTGGCCTCACTTTTGCAACTGCCTCTGAAGGTACGTCTATACTGCAATTGGAAATCCGCGGCTGGCCTGTTATTGTGGTGTAGACATACCCTGGGTGGCCAGTCCGTACCAATGGTGCTGGGGTTGTGTGATACGTCGGCTAGAACCTGGCTTGGGACTTTCTACTCAGGCCTTCAGAACAGACATCAGATGGACTAAGCGCTGGGTCGCTGACTTCAAACCAGGCCAGGTTCTGACCCAGTGGCCATGGAATGAAAGGGTCCACATCTCCTTTCCAACCCCGTCACAGTGCCTGCCCATCAGCACCTCATTCGACCAACTTCAGTTCAGCCCTGCAATTACTCATTTGGGGACCCAATGAAATGGTCTTATCCAACCTACACTCTTATATAGGGAAGTGTAGGGAAACTGTATGTTTGAATGGAAACAGTCCCCTTCTTAATCGCAAGAAAGATTCTGACTAGCCACCATTTTTTGTCCTCATAGAGGAGGATTGAAGGATATAGTGAACCAAACCTTGAAGAAAACAACAACTATAGAGTTAAATCATGCCACCAGTTTTAAGCTTAAATTCCCTGTTGACTGCAGTGGTGATTTCTGCTTAAAACCGATTTATAAAATATGATCAATTGTAAAATATTTGACAGCTTTGTTTTGAAGTCCCAAGACTTTGTAGCCTTCACAGCACTGGCCTAATTAAAAATCTCTCCAAAATCTGTAATCAGCATAGGCTATTCTTGCCTGAGCAATGCTTGCTGTTTCTGCCAACTTTGGTTCTTACACAAAACCCAGTGTGAGCCAAAAAGCATATGAAAACGCTTGTTGCATGCCACTGCTATCTGGGTATATTTCTGAAGCTTGGACATAACAATGTTTCCTTTGTTTTGCCCTTCAGTCCCTGCTAAATCAAACCCCGCATTGTTCTGATTTATACTCTGTATAACCAAGTATCATTACTTCCAACAAAAAATATTTGCTTGTATCACAGTTTAGTCTGAGCTATTTTTTCCCCCCTGCTGTCATTTGCTCACTCAACTGAATGGTGGCACTTGTTTTTCAAAGCTTTTACCCAGCTTTGCAGCTGGGATGACTGGAAGCCCAAGGTTAGTGGGTAGTCAAGCGACTTGTTTACGGTCACACTGCTAGTGATGATCTCTGTCTCCGCATCATGCACGTTTTCAGGGCTTTGCTATTCTAACCACGAGTCATCACGTCCACTTACAACATTTTAAGCCTAATTTCTAAAATGGAACAAAATTATTGAATATTTTAAATTATATCTCCTACATACAATGAACATCTGTAGGGGTAAAAATGAAATTGTTATGGGTCAAGCCTTTTGATGGGGGGGGAAGGGGGGGTTGGAGGAACACACTCAAAAAAAGCATTACAAGAAGCAGAAAGAGGCTCGCAAAATAAAACAAATCCCATCTACGGGGTTCTCTGGAGGTAATATTTGGCCAAAGACAATGAGAGAGAGCAGCTATGAATTGTCCAGCGTAGAACATTTAATTTATTGATAGCAAGCAAGGGACACACCTCCAATGCAAACAAATGAAAAGTTGCATTTGACCTACAGGGGACTGGATTTGAACCACCAAGCAAAGGCATGCTGCATTAATTTACAAGAAGGTTCTGCTGAACACTGACCTTTCTGGCTGCAGGGATGCCACCATAAGCATCACATCCTGATCTGCTGTCAAGCATTGCACTAAAGTGATTTACACACTAGCAGCTACAAAAGCACAACTCTTCAGAACAGAACTGACTGAAAAGCAGAGAGCCCAAGGAAACTAAGGCATTAGGAACCAAAAATGTACTGTCCGATACTTGTTCAAGATGATCGTTCTTTAAAAGGCATTATGGATATACTGATGGATACAACACCTAACAAGTCCATTCTTCAGTGCTTTATGTCAACCAGCACACCAAGGAGTCCTTGTGTTAGTTTAATGACATTAGTCTAAGGGAGGAAAAAGAAATAAGGAAATTGACAAGAGCTAGTCAATGGCTAGATGTGCTGACTTCAAAGCGGAATTACAGCAGCACAAATAAAATGTGTTCAAACCGCATTGAGTCACTGGATTTGTCAATGCCTTAAACCATGTGTGATGATTTACAGTGGTGCAAAGTGGGTGTAAAATACCAGCACTCTGATTTGGCATTGTTACATAATCAAGCAGGTGTTCATAGTGCACAGGGGTAAAAGACCACACAAAGTGCAAGAATCAGCCCCATTATCAATCTCTTAAAAAAAAAAAAGTAAATTTAATATCCAATTTAACATAGATGTGATGTTTATTCCTGTTAAGTATGCATGGATATAATTTAATAGCTATGGAAGAAACATACTGAAATTATGCACAAGAGCAAACAGCTTTGGAAGTACCCAATAATAACTTGATTTGTTATTTTTTCTTTAGATCTTCAGTAGCACTAAAGCTAGTCAGCCAGCCAGCCACTACTTGCCTAATAGTTTTAAACAAACAAAGCATCACAGCTTTGTATTCTTTAATAGAAAAACAGCACTGCATTTCTTATCTCTGTCTTTGGTAAAAGTTGCTTACTTAGTGGGAAATAAGCTGAATGCTTTACGCAGATATTGATTAAATTCACTGTTTGCAAGAGAAAATGCCTGCAAGTAATTAACCCTTGGATGCTAGTGATTATGGGAAAATTTAGCCCCACGATGAATGCAGGTCTCCATTTTCAACATCTGTCGTTTAACAAGAAGCTACTTCAGGAAATGTTTTCATATTTTCACTCAGTGTGGGGGAGAGATAGGAAGGGTAATGCAGCAAAATGGAAAATATATACCTTCTGAAAAAAATGCCTAAATTACCAACAATATTAAAGTAAAGTAAAAAGAAACGTTCAAGTTAAAAAAAAAGTTACCTGTCTTACTAACACAACTTTATATTGTTAAAAACAGAAAGAATTGTAAACACTTGGTTTTTTTCTCTCTCTCCATGTTTTGTGCATTTCTTTCAGTTCCAACAATGAAAAGAGAGTGTCTCCCTCCTCTGCTCCCTCCCCACCAACCAGTTTCAAGTCATTTTCACTTTCATGCTTCCACTAACACCACACTGCAATGTGTAGATTGTAAATACTGCAGGGACATAGTAATTTCTTTAAAACTCTTTCCACTGGAATTTTTAAATAACCACGCAAACATTTCTGAGGTATTGTAAAGGCAGATTTGCCTGAAAACTTAGATTTGGTGCTGAGGTTGACCTGACATTGTCCCTCTTGAAGTTTCACGCGAAACCACACAAGCAAGGAAATGCAGAGTTTTCACAAAAATTGTCTCCATTTTTCCAACAGAAAAATTTCAGAATTTGAAATGTTTCCACCTGCTCAACTAGACAGTTCCCCTTTTCTACTGTGGATCCCAATTCTGCGCCCCTGGGCCTGTAAGCACAACAGTTGCCTACTTAACCCTTTCATTACACTGGTCTACAATTTTTGAGAAGTCGTCCGCTTCAGAGATAAAATGTGCTATTTATTATGTATTTTGATGTGCTGAATTCAAATATGACAATTAAAACAACTGATTGGCTACTGTTTCTAAGATATTTAAGTTTTTACATTTTATGTCTATGTATATTGTGTAGATAGTAGAGTTTTAATCATAAATTGTAAACCTAGGTCTTTTCATGTGTTTATGGTTGCTTTACATGATAATATTTCACCTGTCCTGTTTATGTAACACTTTAAAAATCAGCAAAAGGGTTATATAAATAAAATTTATTATGAAACAAAAGGCAAAAAACTATTCTGTACATAGTTTA